CTGTGAGTTCCGCCACATTTTGCCTTTTGGCGCCTGCTTTTTTGGCACTTGTTGTCAATTTTCAGGACCGACTAAATAAACTTCGATTAAATCTGGATCGCGCACCGCAGTGTCTATTCAGGAGTAGCGCTCTCAACAGAATTTTCTCCATATCTAAAGCTAGAACCCCAGACCTCAATTCATGTTATTTTTAATATACACTAACATATTTGATGAAACACGAAATTTAAGAAAAAAATATTATATTCTATCAAATTATTCTTATTTGAATATTCTTCTAATTAGTAATTACTATATATTGTAACAAATGGTTTGATCGAGGTTATAATAGCGTAATTTTTTTTAACTATTATTTAAATCTAAAGTAAGTGATATAAAATATTTACTATTAAAATAAAAGTGAAGATGGAAGAGCAAGAGACATGCTTTTTTGGAGAAATTTCTTCTTTCCTTGTTCTCGTTATTCAATATTCACAATATTACCTTTTTTATAGATTAGATTTGACTGTCCTGTTCAAATGTTTTTATGTTTTAATAGGATTATAATAATTTGTTATGTCTCAATAGGACTAGAAATAATTTTCTTCCCTAATTATTATAATTATATAACTATCATAAACATGATTTATCTTATTTATTTCATTATGTACAAAAGAATTCAAAGTATGAGAATCAAACAATTCAAGTTTTGTCTCGATTCAAACATTTTTTCTTAGCCTTTTCTTAGTAAAAAAACCTACATGCTATTGAAATTAAATAAGAAGTATTACTGCAGATAAAATTACAGTTAAATATATTTAATATATATATATATAGATAGATAGAACTGTTTGACTTCAAAATAGTATAATATAATGTCACAAAAATGGAATAATAGAGCATTTTTTCCTAATAATTATTTGAATTTCTATTTTTTTTGTTTTAAAAAATTCCAGTGCCTAGTACGGCTTTAGGTAATACATCGTTGGCAAGCAAAGGTCCCACTCTCAGGGCTGACTTTTTCTTTTTTTGCATATTTCCGTTTGTGCCGTTCGGTTAAGAAGACGAGTTTTTTCAAAATAAAAATAAAATAATATTTCAACTATATTTATTATTATTATTTCACTTTATAGTTTAAAATATTTATATATTATCTCATTAATAATTTCATACCAGATTTCAAATCAAATACACCTTAATACAGATATTTTGATACGGGATCTACTAAAATAGGGAGAGAGGCAAGCAAGATAGTACATATATTTGAGTTACATGTGAATTACAGATACACAGAGAGTGGCGTGCAAGAAAGTCATGTGAATCTACTTGGATACAATGTATCTAAAATAATTACACATAATTTTGACATCATGACTCTGAGGTACATGTATCTAGACGAGCAAATACATATATCCAGAGTCCAAAATCTGATAAAATTCATAATATTACAAATTAACGTAAATCCAAATAATTAGCTTCTAAACTAGTGGAATTTCTGTAAGTTACTCAAAAAAAACTTTTATTGATCCAAATATAAAGTATCCTAGCAAAATCTTAATAACTCAACTAGCTAACTATCTGAATTTTCACCTCGTTAATAACATGTTTGATTCCCCAAAATCCCCTACCCCTACCCCAATTACTTTTTAAAAAATAAAAAATAAGAAATAAAGTATGATCCCATGCTAGATTCAAGCATATGGCGTAGGGGCCAACCTCATACCTAAATTATGCTTTGTTTCTGTAAATTCCACTTGCATTTGTTAGGTTTCTGGATTTAATTCTTATCTCTTATGTAGTATTATTTCCCTTCACAATCTCTTTTATAATTAAAAATAAATGATACCTTTATATGTATAATAAAGAACTATTAATCTTAAATATTATATTTTATTCTTAATGACATGATTTTTATATAGCCACATCAATTTCATGGTAGGTTTAGAATCACACATTCAAAAATCTCTTATTCTTTTTTAAACTCTTAAATAATATAAAGTTCACATAAGATGAAAAAAAAAGTGTTTTAGAAAGAAATGAAACAAGTTTAGGACAATCTTAGGAAATATTTTAGTGTTTGGACTATTTATTGGAAGAACCTTTTTTGGTTAATGTTGGTGAAAGTTGGAAAAAAATGGAGAAACATCATGTTTTAATATAGAAAAATACACTGTTTCTAGACTAAAACATGTAATTTTCAGTCTTGTAACTTTTTTATAAAACTTATATTAAAGTTAGGCTGGCTCCTTCTTTAATAATAATAAAAAAATAAAATTAGTACTCTCTTGACCTTAATTTAAATTGTTAGTTTAGTGAGTGGAATCATACATGTAACAAACTTTGTGATGCAAGATAACATTATTGCATTATAAGATCTGTTAATTATACTACTAATATATAGTAGGAATTAGGACTATTAAATATTTAAATTAAACAAATGATTGAAAATTAGTACTTGTTATCTTATCGAAGCCTTTTCTTTTCTAGAAACTTAGATAATCATTTATTGAAATTAAAAAAATTGATGGATTATACTTTTGTGCACATGGGGTAGGTGTCACTCTAATTATGGTATGTGCGTTGTATTCTTTAATATATTCATTTTATATCTCTAAATGGAAGGTAATTGGCTCTTTTTTCTTTGGTAGGTCATGACGTTTATAATTTTGTTTTAATCATTTAACATAGGTATAGAGTTGAATTGAATTCACAGTTTCAATATGTGAAAAAAAACCAAAAAAGTCATGAGGATGTTTTTTTTCTCGATATAATAAAAAACACTAAAAATATTTAAGTCTGTCAAGATCAAAATTCCATTTTTTTTAATTGTATTCTCCCATACAAGCAAATCTTCTATATGCATGTGACATTTATTTGTGAAATAGTTTGTGCAATAATTTGCCTTTTTCTGGAAAAAAAATTTCAAAACTCAATATTTGCATTGTTGAACTCAATTAGTTTTTTCATATTTCTTGTTGTTGAAAATAAGTAATAACTATTGGATCGTATTCACTCATAAGAAGCGTTAATTAGCCCGTTAGTTCGTTAGTTTGACTTCATCCTTAACCCTAATCCTTATGAATAAATACACCATTTGGGTGTAGAAAAATAGAGTTTTTCCACATTAGATGACGATTAAGTTTAGTGAAACACTAAAATATTTTGTATCTTTAAAGGATATCTAGGTTGTGGATAAAGAAAGTTCATCTATTTTGTGAAAATTCCTGACGATTGATAATGCAAGTCATGATTTTTACAGATCCGCTTTACTATGGAGAAACTCCAAAAAAATCTCCTAGACTAATATTTACGATTCAAATATTACCCTTGCAAAATACATAATTTTTTTATAATTAAAAAATTCACATATCTTAATTGAGTGTTGTTCAACTTAAAGAATGATAGGTTTATCTACTCCTTTTTATTTGAATACCAAACATTTTGACCCGACATATATACAAATTACTTGAAAGTATAAATATAATTTTATTTGAGAAAACAATGAAATATAAATCATATGATTGCAAAACTTGTAATTATAATTATTGCTTTTTCTTGACTCGTGCAATGTGAAATGGTACTCGAATATCTTGGATTTGGTCCCTCCAGCCACTCAAAAACATTTATTGTTGGACTAATTTTAATGCAGGGACTATTTTAATTAAAACCTTTTATGAAACGGGTCCTTCATCAATACGATTTTGCTTTTCCTGCATGCATTCATATCAACTAAATATTGTATATTTATATAGTACATACTCTAGTATTTCATCCATAATATCTCAATGATGATATTTAAATATAAAAGAGTCAAAAATATTTTTAAATTATATAAAATTAAATAACAATATTCACATTTAATAGTTTGATCTAAAAATATATTTATTGTCAATAGTTTAGTCTAAAAATGCCTTTATTTTACGTAATGCTTCAAAAATATTTTTTTTGCATATAAATATATAATACTTTTTAAACACATTCTTTTCCTAATGATGATTTTTTTTTAAATTAGAAATGTTTATCCTACTTCAATTCAAAAAATATAAATAAATAATATATATATTCTGCATCATTAGGAAATTTTTAATTTATCTAAACAAAAATTAATGATGAGTTACTATAATCTTATGTATATGACTTATATTATCAGTTTAAATGATAAATAAATTTATTCTATCTTAATTGATAAAATTAGATTAAGAAAATGAAAAGATTATTTTCTCCGTATTTATTAGATAAAGTAATTTTGAATTAAAAGAAACAAGAATAAGTTCTTTAATAGTAACATTTTTACTAGGAACAAAATATGTTTAAAAAGAAAAAACACTGATAGATTTATTAGAAAAAGACATTTTGACCCGTTAAGTCATAATAAGGACAATTTTAGACCAAACTATTAATAGCACGGACATTTTTTAAACTATTTATAACGACATAAACATTTTGAACAAAACTATTATCTTAGGGCATTTTTATTCAATATATTGCCCTTTTGACTCAATTGCTTTGGCTTATGTCAAGATTTTTGAACCTTATCGTTTTATCACGTTGAAGTTCAACATAAAAATGCATCGACAATTGAATCTTAAACTCAGTTTGTATAGTCTTGCAGGTTGTTACACTTACTTCCTCTAATAGCCTAAT